GTTTGTTAGATTGTTCTCCTCAGTCTCTTAACTAAAAGGTATGTTAGACCAGCTCTAACAAAACCCCTCGGACCTTGGCAACGTCTTAACTAAGAAGACATACGTTCGATAAGAGTATTTATAAAGGCGCACAAAGACATTAATAAGGGTGGAATGTCTAATGACCGTCATCGCCTTGATCTCCACCACCCTCTTCACTCTCGCCTCGGCTATAAGCAAAGTCGCACCAGGTGTTGTCTTCAAGCTTAGGGAGGCCTTTTTCATCATCGTCCTTTGCATCAGGTAGAGGCGTGTCGGAGTCATAACTACAGGCCAACCAAGCTTCATGAGCTTTAAATCTAGCCTCCTCTAAGGCTGTCTCATAGACAAAGCCCGTCTGTCCCAAATCTTAGACCACTTCTACTAGAGCCTCGGCAAGGATCCACTCATCGTAGTGCTCTTGTGGAATGGTCAGAAATTCAGAGGCAAGAGAAGTGGAGGGTCGTTCGAGTAGTCTAGCATTCTCGCCCTCCGTAGCAGAAATTCGATCATATAGCTCGACATTCTCTCTCTCCAACTCGCCAATCATCTCCTCGAGCGGAGCATCTTTAGCATCAGCTGTCAATTGAACATTATCCTATTCCGCACGGAAACTTCTATTTGCCAACTCGACAAGAGCGACCCTTTCCGAGCTTGTCTCTGGGAGGATTCTGCCTCCTCGATCAGCTGCTGCTTACTAGCTACCTCCTTCCTGAGCCCGTTCACTTCGAACTGGCGCTCATCAAACTGACTTTGAAATTGGTCAACCCGGCTTTGGAGGTCATGGTAATGAACTTCTGCGCCCCTACTCAGCTCGAGCTATCATTCTTCCTCTTTAACGCCCCTTTAAGATCATTGAGCCGCTCCACGAATGCGAGCTACTCTGCATCCTTCTTTTTTAGCTTCTCCCTCAGGGCAGTTACATCACCCCCCTCACGGAGTCTCCTCTTAGCCTCCCTGTACTGCCCTAGGAACTCCATATACTTTGTCCACATTTTGTAATAGACCTAATTCTGCCTCTTCTCTCTCCGCACACTATCAATTTCCAGGATAATGGCTTGCACGTAAAAGAAAAAAGAGTAAGTAAGGTAATATTCAAAGGCGAGCCAAAGAAAAAAAAAAAGAGGAAGGAAGTAATTTACCCTGAGAGCGAGGACGATGATGCTCTTGGAAAGAGTACTGTCACTCATCTCCTCGAGAGTCTAGTGCTCGACATCGGAGCGGAAGGGGCCGAATGCCTAAATCACGTCCTCGTTATTCTTAAGCAAGTTGTGATTCACTGGGATCGTGATGGTCCTCGAACCCCCCTCTACTTTAAATTCAACCTGAGTTGTCCCACGTCAATCATCTCGTGTTCTTCAGGATCGAGGTCGAAATCGGATTCATAGACGTTAGGCTTGGCTCGCTCATCTCCATGTTCGGCGGGCATCTTGCTTTTCCCCTTATCAGCAAGGGAAACTTCTTGAGCTAGTTTAGCGGTTGCATCCTCCTTGCGCTCGGGAATTAAGAGATCTTCGTTAGAGGCCTCTATGGTGACCTCATTCCCTTAAGACCGCAAAGAAGCCCTGACGTCAGCTTCTTCAAATCGGGGCGCTTTTGGGGCTGCCCCAACATCTCCTTCGACCAAGGCCGCCACATCCCTTTGCACCTTGATCTCGGGGGAGACTTTAGATAAGTCAACCACCGCTGGTACACCGGCTCCCCCATCTATGGCCCCCCTCTTTCAAGGCCACAGGTCCGTGCCGCGTGGTGAAATCTCCTCGTCTTCAACATGGAAGGGAGCCGAAGGGAGAACTAGCGTGGTGGTTGAACCGGAGGAAGGTGTAGAGGATGCAACACCCCTCCTTCTTCTGAAAGAAGGTGTCGGCACCAAGTTCCTCTTGAAGGCCTCTTGGCGGGGCCGAAAAAGGGTTACAAAAACAAACATAATCATAACAATGAAACCAAACACAACTTCGTTTGAGAACAACGTACCAACGTTACCTTTTAGGGGGGAAGTTGGTTTGTACTTTTACCAAAATATGGACTAATCTCAGATCCTCGCAGTACAAGGGAGGATCTGCCTGACCTAATCGGCGAGGCGCTATACCAACTGGAGGCTCCTAGCAGTAGCTGCAAGATGATAAGAGTTAATTCACAAAGTCAAAATGCACAATCTCATGAAGGACCGTAGACAAGAAAAATCACTTAAGGGAACGGTTCCTCACCTCTGGGAAGTAGATGACATCGACCATGACGAACTCGGTCTTAACCAAAAAGAAGTCAAGCCAGAACTGTTGACTCCCCTTGTTGCCTGTCTTAACGACCAGGGATTTGCTTCCACGGTGGAGAATGTTCAATAATGATAGAAATTGGGCATGAACAACTACAAAAGATGCCGCAAAGTGATATCAACGTTGGCCAGATCGGTGAACTTAGATAGAATTTTTATTACCTTGTAACAAGGGCGCAAGTTAGGCCGGGCAGACCCGGTAATGGCGGCAGAATTCCTCCACCAAAGAGGGAAGAAGAAAAGAATAGTCGTGGTGAAGGGACAGGCATACAGGGCGCAATATCTTAGTCGATGAACATACACTTCGTTTTCGCCTGAAGGTACGATCTCCACTTGATTAGGGACGCCATATGTGGCCTTAAACTCTGCCAAATGCTTGGCCGTTAAAGAGGATCGAAAAACCTCAACCACAGCCTTCGGCTGCCAATGCAGGTCCTGTTTCGCGTCAGGATTACGAGGAATAATTTTCTCCGCAGAGGGACGAGCCTCTGCTTTAATGACAGTGGTGGAGTCTCCCCCACAAATGGGGGCTGCAACAGCCAATGGAGTGTCCAGAGCCTCCTCATTCACACTAGGATCACCTCTGTCATGAACGCCAGAAGGAAATTAGACATGTTTGTAAAGGTATGGAATTTATGGAAGAAAAGAGTTGAGAAAATGGGAGAAAGCCTTAGAGAATGGTGGGCAAGGAAAGAAAATTCAGAGAAGGTGAAGAAAATTCAAGCAGCGAAAGTGAAGGAAGGATTCAAATAACGGTGACAATCCCCATTTTTATAAAGGAGGAACCTCGGGATTCAAAGCGACTCGTCATAATAGCAGTTGTAGTCGAAACGACAGAACCAATCCGCGAGCTACGCGTGTTCTGACATGACGCATTGGGAACATACGTCATCATGATGCTTGAGTCACATCCCAACCATATCAGTTTCACTCTAAAGGTTACCCGGAAAACTCAATACGACAAGAGTTCAAAATATGTGGCTCTCATAATTCCACATCATCTGCCTCTGGCGACAACCACGTCCATTATTATCCACTTATCAAGCTCGTCCCTAGCTCGGTCAACGTTAATAAAGCCTTTGAAGGCTTTGATGTGTCAACATAACTCCAAAAAGTCTAGGTCAGATGTGGAGGATAAATCGTTATCGAGGTCGAAATGGCTTGACAGAAGACGAAGACGAGGACGAGGACGAGCATCCATCTTCGGTGTGAAGTGACAATCAGTTTTAGGATTTAGATTCCTTAGAGAATATTTTAATGGATATTGTTGTATTATTTAGGATTTTGTGATACATGTACTCTTATAAATAGGAAGAGGAGTAGATAAGAAAAGGGATTGGGACCTATTGTAAATAATATCATTTACGTTCTTTGTACAAGATTCTCATTTTATTGAATAGAAACAAAGCTTGACTTTACATTTCCTTTCTTTTATCCATCTCTCCTGATCCAAAAAGAATCAGAATATATGATTACTGATTATCATCCATTATTGTCAGAAAACACATATGAAGATTTCATCCTTGTCGGGTGATCCTTGTCTTATTTACTGTTTAGAAGTCATTTACTATCGTTTATTGCTCTACTTTACATTTACAAGCCTTTATTGCTCTATTATTATCTCATATTAAATATTCACCTTAAAACGCTAGCTCTGACATTGAATATTGATATTGGTTATGATTAACCCTATTTTTCAACAAATCTAATTGTATAAAATCAAAATCTAATGTTTGGGTCATACACATAGCTTAATAGAAGCACCAATCGAAGAACCCGGGGTAAATCCCGTTACATCAATTTTTGAGAGCTCCAAAAAGATTAAATTCCGTAACAAGAGAAACCATCAGAACTACTAATGATGCATTGAACGCATTGGATATGTTTCTTTTCTATTTTACTATCGAGAGTCGTACGGGTGAGGACGTGTAAGACCACAAGATTATCATTGCCAAAAGGACAAGTACTCCTCATCAAACATACGATTCGAGATTACTTGAAGATTCAGAAATCAAAACAAAAAATGGAACCTTGTATCATTTTGTGAAGTAATTATGAACCGATTGGATCCTAGCCTAAGCCCCCGGCCACCATGTATAGGTGGATTAAAAAGAAGAAAAAAAATCAAAGAACTGCGCAAAACATGGAATACTCACGTGTAAAGGAGAACTGAACGAAAAACCAAATTTGTTTATGTTTCCCAAATTTAAAAGGACGAATTACATTATTGCCTTTGATATTATAAGAAAAATAACTTTGGCTCGAACTTAAGGGATGGATTGTGATAAATATTCTAAATGAACAAAACAGTTAGGCTACAAACTACTTACTACATTATAAGCAGAATGCAGCCAGAATATTTAAATAGTAAGCAACAAGGAGTAAATGGTCTTCCACTAGAGTATAAGGTAACGTTAACCGGACAAATTTACTTTATTGTCATTCAAAAGTAGTTCATATTACGGTTCAAACCAACTTAAAAGCTTAGATCTAGTATAGGGAACTGTGAATAATCAAATATCAACTTTCTATTTTGTATAGTGCTACGAAAAATGTATGCACTTACCAACGTACATGGACCTACTCAGTTGGAGTAGTATATTTTGTCTTGTGTTATTTATTTTATTTTTCAAATTATCAATCTAACTTATTTTGGTCGGTAGCTTATACTGTATTTATTTCTAAAATTATACGATAGTATTTATACACATTTAGCGTATTAAGGTAAACTCAAAATCGATATGTTAATACCCTTTATATTGCTCTATAAATATCAGTGATAGCTCGTGCACGGGGTTGTTAATTAGCTCTTCAGCTTTTAAAAGAAAGAAAGAGAGAGATGGCAAGACTAAGCAGAGGGCTGTTAATGCTCATTGTAATAGTGGCTGCAATTCAGATTTGCGCAGCAGAGGCCATCACCGCCACCGTCTCGTGGGGGGATCCTTGCAGCGACAAAGCTAAGACCCAAATAGAAAAATGCTTGAAGGAAGAGACTGCTGACATTGACAAGTGCTGCCGTAAATTACGCAACGCCATTCATGATAGCTGCCCTTGTTGGGTTCACGCTGTTGCCACAGACAAACCACTTGCCATTGCCTACTTTGAGTATTGCCAGATTTATCATCCCCCATGCTAAAATTCTCTGGTAATTAAGCTGTCCTAATTAATTACCTAGCTCCTCCTTTTCTTTTCATTATCTATATTCCCTTTTATAGTAAAAGCCAATTTCAAATATCGTTTTGTTTTTCATTTGGATATCTATGATAGTAATAATACCTAGGGGTAGCAAACTGGCGGGTCGGATCTGATATAAATGAGTCAAAACGGGTAATGCAAAGATGGATAAATTATTCAGATCCGTACCACATTTAATATGGATAGAAAATAGGTTAACCGACAGATAATTTGATATCCATATTATTTATGGATTCTTAAATATGATCATTTTTTGGAGAATTGTTAGTGGGCGTTTGTACATAAGAATTATAAAATTTCGAAAAAAGTAAAATTTTTGTTCAAGTGAAAATGATATTTGAAAATTAGAGTTACGTTTGGACATGAATACCATTTTGGGATGTTTTTTAATTTTTTTGAGTGAAAATTTTGAAAAACAGCTTTTTGGAGTTTTTACAAATTTTCGAAAGAAATTAAAAATTTTATGGCCAAACATTAATTTTGAAAAAAAGTAAAAAAAATTTGAAAAAAAAAAGTGAAAACAATTGTATGGCCAAACGATTCCTAGTCTCCCAAAATAGAAGAACCCTTAATTTGAGTTTTTATAAATATTAAAGTTAAACACATTAGTGATTCATCGTTTATCTATTGATTATTTCTTTAAGTGGATAATATGATTTTTATTCATATTTGGCCCATTTAAAAAAATCATTATCCAATTAATTTTTTAATGAATAATTGAGATGGATAATTATTATTTTTTGGTCCACTTTGCCACCACTAGTAATACCTAATGCTGTGTGTTGGTTTCAGGCGATATGAATATATGAGACGGAGGAAGACAATGGGATAGTACCTGTTCTTTTTTAATTTCCAAGCTATGTTTTCGTCGATGTTAGATCTTAGTTTTCTATTATGTTAGTTGTACCTTTGTGCTCTCGTGGTACAACGCAACGGCGTTGCTTCTTTTTCCGTTTCCTTGTACAAGAGTTGCTGAAATTTCAATGCATTACGTTTAGGACCGTTGTTCTTGTCAAACATGCGGTGATAATGAGAGTTTAACGTCCACGAAAACGTATTACTTGTTGATTTGTAGTATGAAATTAGGTTGATATGCAATAGTGGGTAACTCTTCGTATATAATAAATCTGCTGTAATACCTTAAAAGGTCGAATAATAAATAATTTGTTATAACTAATTAAAGCACATAGTAACATATAAACTCTTTATAAGCCAATCTCACTTGAAAATTTCTTGACCCAAGTGACATTTAATATTGGTCGAGAATCATTGATTGGAACTATTTCAGCTTCAGTAATGCTGCCTGGATTCATCGACATATCCCTGTTTGGCATCAATCTCCTCTTTCGATTAAACAAACTAATAAATAACTTCACAATACGAATTAAAACTCCATTAATTAATTCAAACAATTGTCAATAATCGAATCCCTAATCAAGTTATCAATAAACCATATCTGTCAACACCCTAAGGGAAATTACTCCATAGCAATGGAAAAAGTCATATCAATAAGGTTTAAAAACATAGAAAACATCAATGTTAATGATTTGATACAAACTCCCGTATTGCATCGATTGTTGCTTGAAATCATGATGAATTCTTGTGTCTTCTTGCCTTAGTTGCTTCTCGAATCTTTCGTAGGTCAAAAGCCCCTTCAAAACGTATTTTACGTGTATTTATACCATGTAGGAGCGAGCCCGGATGAAACTATCCTTTCCGAGCCGAAACAGGAAAATACTCTGAGAAATTTGTACAGGCTCCCCGCGCCCCGCACCCCCCGCTGTGCCATGCGGTGTGCCGGTGGAGAAGTTCAGAGAGCAATTTCTGACGGACAACAGCAAAACACACTGTCGCGCTGCCCCATGCAGTGCGATTGTGTTAAATTTCCACAGAAATTTATTTTCTTCACGTTTTGATATCCAGACTTGGTTCTCAACACCCGACGCAATTCCGATTTAATTTCTTGGACCTTTAGACTTCAAAGCTCCAAATTGTTCGATTTAGCTCCAGATTATCTTTTTAACTCGTAATCACTTCTTGCAAGACATAAAATACGTAATAAGTGAAATTCACTATCATTTAAGCTTAAACACACGTAAAATGCAATAATTATAGTGTAAACTATGACTAAAATACGGGTTTCTAGCCTACCATCAGAGTTGCTCGAGGGACAAAGAAATCAAATCTGGAAGCTTTCAAATGCATGTCATAGAAAGTGCTAGGATCCTACTCACGAAGTACCTCTTTGCTCCTCAACGTCCCTTCAAGGATGTTGCATTTTTCCACAACCCGGATCAGCTCCCTCTTCTTCAAGTCCTCCCTCAGGACCCGCACGTCGCCGCCTTCGCGAAGCCGACACCGGAGCTCCTGGTACTTCTCAAGGCACCTTGTATACTTGTCCTTCAGCTTCACGTAAATATCTTACGCCTCTTCTCCGGGCGAGCACTCTCAATCTCTAGAATAACCGTCTACAAAATAAAGAAAAGGAATTAGAGATTACGAAAGAAATCAAAGCATAAGGATTAGAACAGACGAACAGTTGAAATTACCCGTAGAGCAAGACCAGCAATGTTATTTGACATAGTACTGTCGTTTATCGCCTCGAGAATCGTACCCCTCAATCTCAGAACAAAGAGGACTGAGGGCAAGGACTGTGTCCTCGGTATCTACAAGAAGATTACGATCCATCGGGATTGCAATAGTCCTGGAACCTCCTTCCAACCTCAGTTAGAGTTAAGTGAGTCCCTCATCGATCATCCTCAATTTGTCCATGTCCATGTCGGAGTCAGATCCAACATCCTCCTTAGTAACGGCCTTCTCTCTGTCGCTAGCCACAGAGGGGACATCTATTGCGACCCCAGAAGTCGAGGCCTCCTCTTGCCTCGGAAGTGCAAGGCCGTCATTATGCATCCCGCCATCGGTCGTCTGCCCCACGGGACACAGTGATGCAATCGTGTTCATCTTACTCGAGTGCATGACCTCGGAACCCACCTCGCGGCTCTCTCGAACATACACCGTGGTCGTCTCCCGAAGAACAAAGTCTCATTCTTCGAAGTCGACAACAACTAGCTTCTCTCCTCCCGCATCCACAGCTCTCCTCTTACGAGGCATGTTCTTGGACTACGGTGGTTGAAGAAGGGGTCGGCGCATAAGTGGCAGTAACCACAATATGGCCAGAAATCGAAGGGGCATCATCCTTTCTCCGAAAGAATGGCACCGGTGCCCGGCTCCCTCTAGAAGACCCCCTACCTGAGAAAGAAATAAACGTCGAATTCAGCAAAATGAGTCGGCGTATAACGAAAAACGAGACGACTACGAACCAATAAAAAAGGCTACCTGTTGAAGGGAGGGCTGGTCTGAACTTCTTGATGAAGCTCCGCTAAACGCAGATCCCTACGAAGCGGGGGAGAATTTGTTCGACCCAGTCAGAGATGCGCATGACTAGAAGGGGAGGGTGAGTGTTGGCTACAAAGAAAGAAAAAATCTTTCAACTAACTCCATGTAAGTAAAAGAACACGAAAAAAAATAGAGAAGAGAGAAAAGAAACGAGCACTTACGTTTGTAATTCCAAGCCTCTGGAAAGCCATCAGCGTTAGCCACCACATCCTCGGTCCTAACGTAGAAACGATTGAGCCAAAATTGACGATTGGCCTTATCGCCCGTGTTCACCACCAAACATTTGCCTCCATGGTTGCGAAGAATCAACATCGTCCCCCTATAAAAGCTAGGGGTGAAGAGATGAACCAAATGCTGCAACGTCAGCTCAACCCCAGCCAGCTCGGCAAATTTGGTGAGCATCCTTATAATTTTGTAGACATACGGCGCAAGTTGAGTAGGGCATACGTCGTAGTGGTGACATAATTCCTCCACCAATGGAAGGAGGGGGAACGAATAACCAATGAGGAAAGGATAAGCTTATAAAGCATAGTATCCGGGGCGATGAACCTATAACATGTCCCCACCAGCCGGGATCAATTCAACATGGTTTAGAAGGCCGAATTTGGCCTTAAGTTCCGCCAATTCCTTGGGCATCATCGCCGATTGAAAAACCCCTGGTGCGGCGTTTAGTAACAAAAATATTTTAGTAAAGATACCACTAACAAAAATATTTTAGTAATGATACCACTAAAAAATGAAATGATAGGTTGAATCTCTGAAGATTGCTCTATTTTTGAGGTGTTTTTCGGCTGAAAATCTTTTCTATAACTAGAAATACAATTTTTGCGTGTTATAATTGAGTTTGTTGAGTTACATTAGGAGTCTATTGCGTTAATTGACTCACTTACCGTTTTTAAACAGCTGAAGACCTTTTTTTTCGTAGATTTCCGTTATTGTATTCACGAATACACCTCGCGAATACATATGAATACAGTCTATGTTTAGCTGGACTTCCTTGTTTTTCGCCGAGTTTTGCTACTGTATTCATGAATACAGTAGTCTGAATACATCGAATACACTCTATAATAAGTGAAAACATAGCTATAGGAAGTAATTAAGTAAATGGTAGCTATAACAAATTAATAGCCACTAAACAATAGTCATTTCTGAAAATTCTTCTTCTTTCGGTGCATCAAAATATATTAGTGGGCTTCAAACCGGGCTCTAGATCTACTAGTGAGGTTCAACCACTAAGACAAGGACTTGGAGGTTGCTTGGAATTTCGCCCATTTTTATAGGAAACCTTACACAAATGTCCCAAATAAGTCTCAACTTACCAACCTCTAGCTATTAGTCATAGACTTACTAAAACTAGACAAACACATATAAAAATTGAAAAACCAAATAAATAAAGTTCTTTCTCTCAAAGAATCACATGCAAAAATCTCCTTCCATATTTTTAAGCGTGATTTAGCAACATTAGATGCAAGACGGAAAGGAAATTTCATGGATGAGGTAGCAAATAAGGTAATGAAATACAAAAAAAATACAATATTCCAAAAAGCTAAGCAAAAAAGGAACTTTTTCAATGGGTATAGTTGAAATTCATTGAAAACATATAGATAAGTCAATATACAAAATTTGAGGAAGATTGGAGGTGATTTGGACTGATTTTGTATCAAAATTCGTAATTAAATCGAGTTCAAAAAATTCTTCTGCGACACATGTATCAAATATGTATCACGCATGTATCTCACACACACATGTGTATATATATATATATATATATATATATATATATATATATATATATATATATATATATATACACACACACACANTGTGTACACAGTGTGATACACATATCATTATTTTCATGTTCATTTTTTTACTTCGAATTTTCAATTCAAACCACCTAAAAACTTCACCAAAATCATCCCAAAATTGAGATTCAAGCTCCTTAAGATGTACCCAATCTATTCTAATAACACCCACTCAAAAGAAAGCGAAAATTTAACCTTTTTTTTGTTACAAATAGCTAATTGGCTAATATTAGTAATATTTTATGAATTGACCAATTTTTGTAATGAGCTACTTACAAAATAGACATAGCTGATAGTTTCCTATTTTTATATGTAAAAATTGGATTATTTGTACCATATGACATTTTTCACGGGAATATTTGAAAGAAATATGTATTTAATTTCTTCCATGAAAAAGTTGTTACCCTCTTCTTTTCTCGATATATTCTTTTCCCAGTATTAAGAAGGATGTTCACTTTTTAAAATATCCTATATGCATAGGAGAGAATAGGGGAAAATGTCAGATTTATCCCGGTAACAAGAGTAACAATGTTGTTTATAATGCTACAACAACATGTAAAGCAAGCAAAATCACACGAAAAGAACTGGCAGCTGGTACCGACCGGAAGAGAACAATAATTATATTATTTATGTAAAGAAGCTGAATAGTCATGATGCATATAGAACAAGAGTTGTTACTTGGCCAATTTTTCTTTCTTCACACTCCATATTTGGCACTACCTTTGGCCTTACGTTGAAAACACTACAAATCCAATGTTTCCGAAATGTCTAGCAGGCCAGAGAACTAGTTAGAAAAACTTAGTAACTCTAGCATATACACATCCACATGAGGTGATATGTATAATTCGCTATAATTGATCTGTTAATCTTCCTTCTTGTTATACCAATAACCAAACAACATCAATAAATAGATTAACCAAACTTTATGCTGGTGCTTGTATGGGTCCAAATTTGGATAACCACGACCACAATCACAGACGAGCACGACCAACGGCGAGGTCCTCACAACTTAACATGGCTCTGATACGAGGTGCTAAGGAGGTTCCTTGGAGGGGGCCCAGGAATATGTTTTGTAGGACCCAAAAGGGATTTGTCCCTTCTATATAATGGGAGGAACATCTCTAAGATAGGGGGACAATGGTAATACTTTCCGATAAGCATTTTCTAACATCCAATCACAGATCTTCATGAGATTAAACAATTTTTGTGTGTTCATTGCCTATCTTCTTTCGTTCTAAGTGATTATTATTCTTTGCTAAGATTTACCCTTTCATTTTCATTGATTGATTTGTTCAAAAAGGTTGTGATATCTTTTGATCCAAACAATTTGGCGCCGTCTGTGGGGATTTCTATAGACAAGATTTTAGTTTCGCCTAGATCACCGAAAGAAGTAAACACCTATTCTCAACCTCGCAAAGTTCAGCAATGGCAGGAAAGGGAGAGACAAGATCGAAGGCGATAGTAGACGTCACGAACAACCTGCTAGGCTCCATCAACGAAGCCGGCAGGGAAAACGATGAAAGCATAACGCCAAGTGTTACAATCGAGAGAAATATCGTGTCCACTCCTCATGAAAGCGTGATTATCTCACGCGATAAAGAAACCTCAATGTTCGCAGCAGGAGAAGCACCACCAGCTGTGAAGAGACTATTAAAGGAATGGCTGACAAACACCTTGAGCAGCATACTGGACAAACCCACTCAAAGGAATATCGGAGGCTCAATACACGCAGAAACCGCAGCTGTCGCCGATGAGCCGGAAACTCCAATCGCAGGTTACACTCATATTGTCGTTGATGCAGATAATGATGCAATCGCGCCATTCTAAAGAAAATGGAAGGTATGGAGAACGAGAACAAAACACTCCGTGATCAGATGAAGGAACATCAGGAAAGAGTCGATAAAATACCGGGCGCTCCGAAGTTGCTACCAAAACGCGATGCAGGCCGATTCGTCGAGCAGCCGTATAGTGAAGGAGCAGCCCCCCACACTATCCCGAAAATATTCAAAATGCCGCCATATTTGAAAATATACGATGGCACCACGGATTCGGAGGATCACCTGATTCACTATGTCACCGCTGTAAAAGGCAACGATCTGTCGAAAGAACAAGTTCCCTCAGTACTGTTGAAAAAATTCGGTGAAACTCTGACAGAGGGAGCGCTGACATGGTACTCCCAACTACCAGCGAGGTCAATATCGACATTCGAAGAAATGGCAGATAAGTTCGTAACCGCCCACGCGGGAGCGAAAAAGGCGGAAGCCAGAGTAAATGACATCTTCGCCGTCAGACAAACGATGGGCCAGGGACTTCGAGACTTCCTAGCCAGATTTAACAGGGTAAGAATGAGCCTACCCAACGTTTCGGAGGGAATGGCGGTGGCAGCCTTCCAGAATGGGTTAAACAGAAGCGGGTCGAAAGCAACCAAAAAATTGTTGAGCAGGCTCATGAAATACCCTCCCACTACATTGGAAGAAATCCATAACGCCTATTGTGCCGAAGTAAGAGCGGATGAGGAAGACTTGAATGGACCGCTCCAACGGTTAACATCGGTCCAGACCGAAGCAAGAAGGGAGCGCCGTAACGACGGGCGGAGGGATCAACTATCCCGTTTCAATTGAGAAAGGCATCAGCCTTACATCCGGGCGTCCATCCCACCACCACCTCGACAAGCAGATGTCATGCCCCGACATACCGGGCCACACCGAAATGAAAGAGGTATGCCTCCATTGCTTTCCGCTCATAACTTTTGCGTTTCTCCTTCGGAAATAGTATATGCACTGGAAAAGCTCGGCAAAAAGGTGCAGTGGCCGCAAAAGATGAAGTTGGACCCCCGGAGATCGAACGTTCTGTGTGAATTCCACCAGGAAAAGGGACACAAAACCGAAGATTGCATAGGTCTGCGGCAAGAAGTAGTAAGAATGTTAAACCAGGGGCACCTGAAAGAACTGCTGAGCGACCGAGGACGAACCAACTTCGCTCGAGGACGCGATCAACCTCAGGGACCACCGAAGCCACCCTCGCCAGCCCGTATCATACAAATGATCATCGGAGGCAGCGACGATGCAGCAATCAACCATGTGAAATTCACCACCACACATAAACTCAAGCGGACAGTCGCCCATGAACGGTATGACGACTTCGAAGATAGTATCATCTTCGATAAGTCGGATGCCAACAGTTTGTCTTTCCCTCACTATGATGCTTTAGTTATAACCTTACGTACTACTGATACTGATGTGAAAAGAATAATGGTCGACGAAGGGAGCGGCGCGTGTATTATCCATCCCAGAGTCGTCTCACAGATGAGACTCAAGGATAAGATAATACCTCGTTGCATAACACTGACGGGTTTTAACAATGCAGTATAACGGACCTCGGGAGAAATAATGTTGCCCGTTGTGGCAGGAGGGGTCACCCTAGAAACGAGGTTTCACGTCATGAACCAAGAAACAGCCTACAACGCTATCATAGGGCGTCCGTGGATACATTCCATGCGAGCCGTCCCGTCTAGTTTCTATCAAGTAATCGAATTTCCTACCCCATGGGGGATATTTAGCATCCGAGGCGAGCAACGCACCGCCCAAGAATGCTACCGCATTGCCCAGGATTGCACACACCAAACAACTTCAAGGGGCAAGTGCGGAAGCATAGCAATCAGCCATGTCGGGAACCAAACCCGACGTACAAATAGAGGCCATCAAAGACCCAGATGTCGTAGAAGCCTGCAAGGCTACCATAGAAGACCTCGCCCCCGTCCAACTGGACAACATCGACGGCACAAAAAAGGCCTACATCGGAGACAACCTCTTAGAACCAGGTAAATATCATGAGTTCTTAACTAACAATGCCGATTTGTTTGCCTTTTCCCATTCAGATATGCCAGGAATCCCGAGGGATATCGCCACACACAAGCTAAATGTCGATCCTCTGTACCCGCCGGTGTGACAAATGAGGAGAAAGTTTAATGCAGCCATCAATGAGGCGGTTAGCGAAGTGGTTGATAAATTACTTGCTAATGGTTCCATCCGAGAGTCGAAATATCCCCAATTGGTCGCCAATGTGGCCATGGTCAAAAAGAAGAACGGGAAATGGTAGATGTGTGTCGACTTCACCGACCTGAACAAAGCATGCCCGAAAGATTCGTTCCCGCTACCACACATCGACCAGCTCGTCGATGCGACGGCGGGACACGAACTACTAAGCTTCTTGATTGCCTACTAGTATACCTGGCAGTCTCCGAAGTCGCGATAAGTGCAGTCTTGATCCGCGAAAACAAAGGTACGCAATCTCCGATTTACTATATCAGCAAAACCTTAATTGATGCCGAAACAAGGTACCCACACCTTGAGAAACTAGCTTTGGCACTAGTCGTAGCTTCACGAAAGCTTAGACCATACTTTCAATATCATCCCATAAAAGTGGTGACAACCTCCCCCCTCAGGGGCATCCTACACAAACCCGAATTATCGGGAAGATTGGCCAAATGGGCCATAGAATTAAGCGAGCATGACATAACATACCAACCGCGAACTGCCATTAAGTCGCAGGTACTCGCCGATTTCGTCGCTGATTTTAGCGCGGAAATACTTCCTGAAGTAAAGCAGGAGGCGCTCCGCGCTTCCGTACATTCCGACCTCTGGGTCCTCTACACCGACGGCGCATCTAATGCATCGGGATCAGGACTGGGACTCCTCCTCGAGGTTCCTATGGGCGAAGTAATTCGCCAGTCCATACGATGCCCCGAGATGACTAACAACGAGGCCAAGTATGAAGCTATGATTGCAGGATTGAAATTAGCCCTCAAATATGGTGCTTGACGACTCATCCTCCATTGCGACTCTCAACTCATAGTGAACCAAGTCACCGGGACTTTCCAAATCAAAGAACAAAGACTACAAAAGTACCAGTCAGAAATTCACAAACCGCTGCCAGAATTCGATGAATGTCGCCTCGACCAAATACCCAGGGCGCAAAATATCGAAGCAGATGGCCTCGCCAAGCTAGCAGCCGCAACCAAAAATATCAGCAAGGAAAACGTGGTCACCCTTCTACATTCCGCCATAGACCAAGTCGAGGTACATTCTGTAAAACTAACCTGGGACTGGCGCAACCGTCTCGTAACATATTTGCAGGATGGAACGCTCCTACAAGATAAGAAAGAAGCCAAAAAGCTTCGAATACAGGCAGCTAGATACAGTCTCGTAAACTGTGACCTCTACAAGAGAACGTTCGGCGGCCCCCTGGCCAAATGTCTTGGTCCAAACCAAACAAGGCGACTACTGGAAGAAGTACATGAGGGGCATTGCGGCGCCCACACAGGAAACCGTGCCCTCATCCGATGCCTCATCCGCGCCGGATACTACTGGCCCACCATGAAAAAAGAAGTCGCGGATTACGTTAGGAAGTGTGAACAGTGTCAAAAATACGCCCCTATGATACACCAAGCAGGGGAACTCCTGCATTCTGTCACTTCGCCATGGCCATTCATAAAGTGGGGGATGGATATTGTCGGACCCCTCCCAACAGGACGAGGTAAGGTACGTTTCCTTTTGGTTTTAACTGATTATTTTTCTAAATGGGTGGAAGCAGGTGCGTACACTCAAATACGTGAGCAAGAGGTCATCGCGTTCATATGGAAAAATATAATATGCCGCTTCGGCATCCCCAAAGAAATCAGCTGTGACAACAGACCTCAGTTCGTCAGAAAGAAAACGATCGAGTTTTTCGAAAAGTGGCACATCAAACGAATACTCTCCACACCATACCATCCCGCCGGCAATGGCCAAGACGAATCCTCTAACAAGGTAATACTAAGTATATTGAAAAAGAAGCTCGAGGACGCCAATGGGCTATGGCCTGAACTACTACCAGAAGTACTGTGGGCATATCGCACTATGCCAAAAACCAGCACAGGCGAAACGCCATATTCACTAGTCTACGGGACCGATGCAGTTATACTTGTCGAGGTCAGAGAACCTAGCTTGAGATACTCCAGCGAGAGCGGACCAAATAACGATGAAAGTCGGCTACAAGATGTGGATGAAGTCGAAGAACGAAGAGACATGGCCCACATAAGAATGGTAGCCCAAAAGCAACAAGTAGAAAGGTATTACAACGAGAAGGCCAAAGTGCGACCGCTCAAGGTCAGAGATTACGTCCTCAAAGCCAAAACACAAGCAGCGAAAGACCCTAATGAAGGAAAACTAGGAATAAACTGGGATGGGCCATATAAAAAAACGGCGACAGCAAACAAAGGGGCATTCCAGTTAGAGACAATGGAGGGAAAACTACTCCAAAACAATTGGAACGTCGCTCATCTCAAATACTTCCACTTCTGAAAGGAGGCGTCACTTGAGTCGTACTCTTTTTCCCTCATCCGGGTTTTGTCCCGGTCGGGTTTTCCTGGTAAGGTTTTTAATGAGGCGGCAAGGGAGATATCTCGAGGTTTGAAGTATTGTTCATTACCCCACCCGTCGACGTATTCACCGGACCAAGTAATGAAGGGACTGGATATAGAATATAATCAAATCTCCATTGTATATGCAAAGTCGACATGTGATTCTTACAAGAATATAATCAAATCTCCATTGTATATGCAAAGTCGACATGTGATTCTTACAAGAATATAACTAAAACTCCTGTATGAACAAAGTCGACAGGTATTTTCCTAAGGGAATATGACCAAACCGCCACTATGAATATCCCAATGGCCAAGGCCATCGACGAAAATGTGTTCGACTTCGTTCGAACTACGACAGGATCCTACTTCGTTGACAGTTCGAAGCAACATCCCAATGGCCAAGGCCATCGACGAAAATATGTTCGACTTCGTTTGAACTACGACGAGATCCTACTTCGATGACAGTTCGAAGCAACATCCCAATGGCCAAGGCCATCGACGAAAGTATGTTCGACTTCGTTTGAACTACGACGGGATCCTACTTCGACGACAGTTCGAAGCAACACCCCAATGGCCAAAGGCTATCGACAAAGCAAAATTCGCCAAAAAATTCGACAAGTATTCGAGAAACCATAAATACTATAAAGGTCACCACCAAAACAATTTCATCATTTACAGCAAAAGCCACTAACGCCTATCTTCACAACGGGCTCAAGCACGCCCATACAAAATCCTTGAAACAAACATAATTACAAAATTACACATCACCCTCGGTGGGGTAAGCATCCTCATACCAAGAGTCGGAGGTAAGGCAGTTTGCATCATCAGAGATGACTTCGTCCCCATCAGGCGTACGGGGGTCGTACGACTCGTACCCAGATGTCTCACGAGCTGAACGAGCTTCGGCACGGACACCCTGAAGTTCAGTTTCGGACGCCCTCCCTTCTGCAAAAAGAGCCTTATATATGTCGAGTCGGGCCTCAGTACAAACCCACAACTCATACGCACGACGGGGTACGATAGGCTCGGCCGAAGTACGGGAAGTAGAAGGTTGATGGCGTCGATTTTTGCATCCTCCATCCTCAAGACGGATAACTCAGCCTCCACTCTCCTCTTTTTCCGCAGTGATGACTCATCCCCATTAGAGGATTCATCCAACGGGTGAGGGATCGGGACAGAAGAAGCCTCTTCCCGCACGACCAAACCTCGAGAGGAACCTTCTATTTGGAGCGGTTGAGTACAACCCCCTCGAGCTGGTTCGGCCAAGGTAAACTGCGCTCCCGCAGTAGCAACGGCTTGTCGAAATGCAGGGACTGGGGCCATGCGCCTGGATACCCCTCGACCTGCCATCGTAAAGAATCGTATCAGTAGTTAACGACGTATGACCAACGATGTAACGTGAAGGAAGAAGCTTACCAGACAAAACCTTGGGGCCATAACATCTCACGAAGGAAGGCCAATCTCGAGTCTCTACTGCATGGGGCAATAGACGAGCCACCCAAGCCTTTATGTCAGCAATAGGTCGGGGTGGATGCCCCAGAGCTACAAGCAAGAACCAGACAAACTATAAGGAACGAAGAAGAGAAGAAAGAAGTGGAGACACTCACGTTTATCATTCCACCGCTCCGGGAACCTAGCAGGGTCGGATACGATGTGGGCAGTTCTGACGAAGAAATACTTGTGCCAGAACTTACGACTCGCCCGGTCGTCGGTTCCAACTACTAACCCTTTTGTTCCACGATGCCTCAAATGCACCATCGTGCCCCTGTGAAAGCTGGGTGAGAACAGGTGCAAGAGGTGATGGATGGTTACCTCATATCCCGCCAACTCCGCATACTTCGTCAGCAGTAAAAGTACCTTAAGCGTGTACGGTGAAAGTTGTGCCTGGCAGACTTGATAAAATCTACAAAATTCCTCCGCTAGCTGAGGAAGGGGGAAATAATAACCAATCACAAAAGGGTACTCGTAAAAGGCGCAGTACCCAGGTCTGTGGATTTCCACAAAGTTCATTCCTGCCGGAACCATATCTACATGGNGCGCTCAATTCAGCAGTCAAACCGGCCACCTTTGCATGCAGATCGACATTCTCAGCCACAACGCCCCTACTTAACTCCAGCTCATCCTCCTTTTCCTTAAGAGACGCTTCGAGCTCACTACTACGGGCGATGACTCTCACCAAGTCCTCGTCCCGTTCCCTCAATTCTTCGACCTTGTGCGCCAGTTGGTCTTCCCATTGCTTAAGCCCTTCACGAAATAGTTGGAAGTCCGAGTCCTGAGTATAGATATCGGCCATCGCACGGTGCTTGGTGCGATATTGTCATATTGTAGACATATCCGTCGATGC